TTGCATACACGTACCTGTGCAAGCGCTGCTTGAGCTACTATGGTAAAAATAGCAGTGCAGCTGGGTAGCACGAGCGGGGGCTCGGGATAGCCAGTTGAGTTCATACCTACCTGGTCTGATGTAGTATAGCAATTCCTATGTTTTCAAGTTATTTGGGGATGCTACTATATCTAGAGATGCATAAACTCTGCAGCAGGTTTTTATTACCAAAAATAAAAATTCTCATGTGCAATAGATCTAATTTAAATATTTTGTTCTGGTTTCAGAGTAAACATCTGCTTCTGTATCCTGATGTCAAAATATTACGAAAATATATAACGTTATCTTACTGTGCAGTACAAACATGTACTTCAATAAACATAGGGATAGTAAGAACACCTGAATTTGTACACTGGAGATCCTAGATTTGCTTGAATTGGCCTTGGTACTGACCACAGGTACTAAGGCCAATATTTTCAAGTGTGCGCACAAAATATTAAACATGATAGGGCTTCCTTGTTAAACTGTACAAACTACAAGTTTGGCATAGAAACCATTTTAAGAAATGATGTAAATAATGTTCAGATGAAGACTATTTCTAAATCAGTTAAGATAAACACATACCACACTACCATTAAGTAGAGAAACTATTTGAAAGATAATACCCGGAGAAATTGCCCTTAATTACATTTTCTTTTGCTGAAGCACTCTTCAGTGCAGCCTAGTTTAGTTTTCAAACAGTTGTTCTTGGGTCGGGGGGGGGGGGGGAAGGACCTTCAAGAATGATGTTTTCTGATGAATTACCAGATTTGTCAACTTCAGAGACAACCCACTGGAGCTGCAAGTAACACTTCCCACATGCGAGAATACTGAAGAGGAAGAGGAACGGGAATTGTTTGGTATTCAGTTCATGCATATGTATATTCAAGAGTCACTCAGCAGAGCAGGTATGAGATTTGTATTGTCTGTAACTAGAGTATGAATAAAAAAATATTAGAAAACATTAAAATGCAGTCAAGCAGAATTAAGGTGTCTCTACACTGGTATGAATTCCAGCTTGAGGAGACATACATGAGCTAACATGCTAAGAACAGAAATGTAGTTACCTCTGAATATGATCCTGGTACATACTTAACTAACAAGCCTCTCCTGCCATGTGTTCCACTGTGGTGACATTTCTATTTTTACCTCACTAGCTCAATCATAGCTAGCACAGATATGTCTCCTTGAGCTGGAAGTTACACTGAAGAGGGAGTAGCAGGAGAAGCTGATGCTTTTGTCACGGAGTTTCTGGAGTTCCCAGCATTTCCTGCCAGCAGGTGGAAAAGCACCAACATGTGATGTGGAAATAAAAAGATGTTTCTAGGAAGATCTAGTCACCTAAGTGAAATAAATTACTGTATATACTCAATCATGAGCCCGTTCGTTTATAAGCCGACCCGCCCAAGATGGATAAGTAAAAATGGAAATTTTTTATGACCCGTTCATAAGCCGACCCTATAATTCAGGGGTCAGCAAACTTTGGCTCCCAGGCCATAAGGATAAGCTGCTGGCGGGCCAAGATGGTTTGTTTACCTCGAGCGTCCGCAGGCATGGAGATAAACCTAAGTAAATAAAGTGTCCCAGCACGCCAGCTGCTTACCCTGACGGGCCGGGACAGCAACTGGTGGGGAAATTTTGGGGGGAAGGGGGGGAGAGGGAGAAGCTGGGGGTCAGGGGAGTAACCCCTGTGACAACCCCCCCACATGACCCCACCCTTAGCCCAGTACCCCCACACTCTCCCCATCCTATCCCTTCCCACTTTATCTGGGGAGGAGATTTCTGGCCTGGCTGGAGCTGCTCCGGCAGGCTGGGCAGCGCGGCTGCAGCATGCTCCGACGGGCCAGTCCAAGCGGCGCGGCCGAAGCATGTTCCAGTGGGCTGGGCCAGGCAGCACGGCCACAGCGTGCTCTGGCGCCTGGGCGGCGCGGCCACAGCCTGCTCTGGGGGGGGGTGGGGCTGAGCGGCAGGGCTACAGCCTGCCAGCCCCAGAGCTGCAGCTGCTTCGGAGGCTGGGGGGAGAACAGTGTGGGCAGAAGCGGAGAGACTCTGGCCCTGCCTCTTCCCTTCTGGCTGTGCTGCCTCTCCTTGCACCCTCTGTTGGGGGAAGGGGCTGTGTCCCACCTCTCCCTCTCTATACCCATTCATAAGCCGACCCCCTTCTCTGGTGCTTCCCTTTCTTACTAAAATAATTCGTCTTATGAACGAGTATATGCAGCTATTTCACCCCATTTCCTCATGGAAAAGTAGCCATATGACAAAGCACATCGACTAGCACTGTCTGCTGAGAGATAAGGACTGGACGATGAATTACCCACAGAGGCTGTAAATGAAGGTCAGGATTGAGTTACATTAGCAGAGCATCATGAGCCAGTGCATTTTGCTATATCTATTATGTGGACAGCGAATTTCACTGACACAAGGTATCAATATTTCATCTCATTAAGTTCACCCACATATTAGGAAAGCTTAAAACAAATGGCTCAAATAATGAGGTTAACTCAAGAGATCATGTCAATTTCAGCTTTTATTCCTCTCCATAGCAAAGCTTTATGCATGGGAATGTAATTACTAAAACAATGAGGTGGCATTTGATTTCCAACTAAATGATGTTTTTCTTTAGCCAATTCCACAAATAGTCAGAACTCATAAAATAAAATTCTAGGCATAGAAAACAAGATAAAAACCCTCATGAAGTTCAAAAATGGAAACAGGTTATTAAGCATATCCATTTCTTACATTTTAACCTATTGATTTTCAGAAAACCTGGACAACTGCATACCTGTTGCTTCTGCCACCATTAATGATAATGAATAAAAAATTAAATAAACTGCCAAACTGAACTTTTGTACTTGGAGGAAAATATAAATTCTACTTCTTCTGAACAGAGAAAACAACAGCAATATGGCAGTGTGCAGAGACAAAAATGCCTTATGACTTTCACACTGCTAGGCGTCAGCTGGCATCTTCTTGTGATTCCAAAAGAAATTTAAGTTCAATGCTTTTGTAGGTACTGAAAGACTACAAAATGTTTTCTAAAAGTACTGAATCTGTGAATAAGGTCTTAAAAAAAATCCAGAGAAGTTTTGTAGAGTTCTGTGTCCTGCCCATTCCAAATCTGTCTCCCATTATGCAGTTGGCTGAGGTACTGAAGATTGACTTGGTACAGCTGTCAAGAGTACATTCTCCAAGGAAACAGTAGTATAGTATTGTAATGCAGCAGTGTACCCTCTCTGTTGTAAATATTTGATCCGTCCCTGGTCAATCAAGAGTTTACAAAGACGACCTATCTGCTTTCGTTCTTCAACGGTAAGTAGCCTAGCTCCAAAAAGAAAAACATGAATTAGTCAACACAAATGGTTCAAGATCAGAAAAGCTGTAAAAACTGTAACTGATGCATTTCAATGCAGATAACGTATGACTGTTTTGGAATAAGATTTTGAAGACTATTATGTCACTTAAATTTGCATGTTTTTCATTTTAAGTACTTCAGATGGATATGTTTCTGTAAAATGAGCCATTCTGACATTCAAAAATGCTTAATCATTCAGCTATAAATGACTGTCTAATCCATTATTTCTACCTTCCTGAGACATCTACATACTACAAAAAAAAATCACCTACCCTTGCAGACTATCAGAACTGCACTCCATTCTGTTGTGTACTTGGTCATGTTCTTCTGTATCACTGCTTTGGTCTTTGCTCTTTGCATCAACGGTAGAGGCTTCAGTGATAGTTTCTCGCATGCCACAAGTGGCCCAGCTAGTCATTCTCTGAAAATAATTAAATTCCACTGGCCCAAGTCCCACTGTTCTAAAGAACTCTCGGCCTACATAATGCTTCCACTGACACCTGTGGTGGCAACACAGTGCAATAACAATTCCAGCCACAGGCTTCCAGTTTTCTGAAACATTCTTTCCACTCCTTTCATCAGCAGAATTGTTAAAAGCTATGTCTGTTTTATCACTCTTGAAACGTTTAGGTGAAGGTTCTTCATTTCTTTCATCATATTGGGTTGCGTAACTTTCAACCAAACATCTCAGAGCAAGATCTGTGAACAAACAACTATATTTTAAAAAACTCTTGAACAGTGTGCTGCATTTATACTCAAAGATAGGAAAGGAACTTTCCTCAAAAATAAGGAGGAGCATAAAAGCACTTTACAAGTAATCCCAAAAGCAACAAGTTGACAAAGTTTACTTAAATACGGTCAGCTACTTTAAAATGAAATGAGTTTATATATTTCAAGTTCAGTTTACCAAATATTAATGTACACCTCTACCCCGATATAACGCTGTCCTCGGGAGCCAAAAAATCTTACCGCGTTATAGGTGAAACACGTTATATCGAACTTGCTTTGATCCGCCGGAGCGCGCAGCCCCGCCCCCCCGGAGCACTGCTTTACCGTGTTATATCCGAATTCATGTTATATCGGGTCTCATTATATCGGGGTAGAGGTGTATTTACAAAATCACCATAAGACCACTGTGAGACACTGTACCTCAAATAGCACCCTGGAGCCCTCATATTCACCTCTGCGACACAATTATGACAAATTTTGTACAATGCACGCCTTGTGAAGCATCGTTTTAAAATCTGTTGAACACTGATATCCTGTTTGGATTGTATGTACTATCATTTTACATGAAGTATTGCTATAAGTGCTACTGAAATATATTGTGAGGTTGGGAGATGCCCACAGCTGGCCTTTCAGTATGGACAAAGGAGCAACAATCATTGGCCTGCCAGGCGTTAACAGCTCATCAAGAACAATCCAATATCCCAGAGGCTTCTCAGAGAAGGCACATATGCAATGCAGACTGCCTGACCATCAGCAAGGAACTTTCTAGCAGCTGGAAGAAGGTACAAAAAGAGAGAGAGTGACATCATCCCTTGGCCTCTTCCTCCCCCACCCCAAATCTCAACACATGGAAGACAAAGACTTTGGTCCCAGGCTGGAAGGAAGTCCAGTCTGTGCACTGATGAACTGTAAGCTGCCTGCAACATCTGTTAGGGTGAGAAACTGCTTGATTCAAATCTCACTTAGTTTGTTAAAGTAAGAATTTAGACTGTATTTTTATTTGTATTTCTTAGGTAACCAACTCTGCTCTCTATGCCTGCTACTTAGTCACTTGAAATCTATCTTTCTGTAGTTAATGAATCTGTTTTATATTTTATCTAAGACTGTGTGTTTTTGGTGTAAGTGCTTGGGGAATCTCAGCTCAGCTTAACAAAGACCATTGCACATCCACTACCCTTTTGTCGGAGTAGTGAACTTATTAATTAGCTTACACTGTCCAAGGGACTCTTGAGCAATGTAAGATAGGATATTTCTGGGGTTCAAGGCTGGGGCCATTGACTGGTGCCTCTCTCTGTATGATTCATGAGTGGCTCAGGGAGCATAATATAGCTGGGTGTGGGGCTCCAGATGCTGATGGTTGAGAAATCACAGTGCCTGGAGGGGTGTTACTGCTCGTCACTGACATAGCTTTGTGAGAGACAACCCAGGCTAGAGAGTTAAGGCGACACAGTGGTCCCATGGTTCCAGGTTGTACCTCGGGGATCCTGTCACAACTATCTGACTTGTTAGTGACCAATACTCTTGAGAATACTTGTTCCACAGGTCATTGGGAAAACTTCAGCTCCGTGGCCTTTTTATTACAAGAGGACGTTTATGTAGAAGTCTGACAGAATTAAAGCACACAATCCATTTACTTAAGAATTGTAAATATCATTACAAAGACATCATGGTTAACAGTGTCCCAATAGAATGTATATAATACATACACACAGAATGTCATACCTGAAACACTTTTCCCCACATACCTGGGATGTAAAGCTGAAAAAAAATTAATTGGTTGAAAATGTCTTGGACAAGTTGAAAATGATCTTACTATATTACAGTATTCAAGTTGTCCAGGACATTTTTAATCAAGTTAAGTTTTTCCAACATTGTTGTCCAAGCCTAAGACAGTGGGAAGAAAAGTACTATGAAAAACATGTTTCTGTCAGTTTAAGAACACAATTACATAAAACATTCATTCTTCATTTTGCTGTACACAACCATTAATGTTTATTTCCATCTGGATTAACCCCTTTGCTGCTTGCCATCATCCAAGTAGTGTTCCTCTGAAATCAGCGGATATTTAGAACACAACTGGTACAGTAGGCAGCAGTCAAAGAATTAGACAGAAAAAAATAGTACAAAAAAAACTGTTAGAAGCATCGAATTATTCAAGAGGATTAGAATCAGCATTCCACTTTGTAGCTGCACTTACGCCAATTCGTATAGTTCATACCTGTTGCAGCACCACATAAATGCTTTCCAATTCCTACCACAGGAAGCTTTTCTTTCTCAAGAATAGGTACTTTATCTGAAAGAAACAGAACCTGGATTACTGGAGCTGGACATCATCTTGCTGGGTAATATAATTCCAGCACACATAACTGAAACAATAGGTCAGAAAACTCAAGTAAAATTCCTGCCTCAATTATTATAAAAAAACTTCAATTGTCTGCATCTCGAAAGGGTAGCTAGTGTTATGTCACACTAAAAGATAAGATGGAAACATAATACAGTATAATTTTCATGAACTGAAAAGAATAGCTATACAGTATGTTTAAATAGCACATTTATTTTTTTCTTCCTTATTTTTAAACAACTTAAAATTGTACAAAGGGAATAAGTTTAAATTAAAAAGGAACTTTTTAAAAACATTCATTGTTAGCAGCTTGGAAATAAAACAATTTTCCTTTCTGACATGTTCCCTTCTAGTCTACAAACATTATGTTATGTTCCTAGTGCAGCAAAAATCAATACTTCTCTTTGTACACCAATAAAAAGCAGAAAAGTACAAAACTTTGAAAATAGTTCTTGCTTACTGTGGGGAGTTCAAGCTATTTGTGGTATGTTTCCTCAATAAATAAATGAATCAATCAAGACTTTATTTAGACATAAGATAATTTCCTAATAGACAGCAATTCAAAATCTGTCAAATACTTAAAAAACCCAATACTCCAGAAGACACCGTTCATACATTGCAGGCCAACTTGATCCATATATTGAATAGTAGTAATACTCTATATCTATAGAGCCTTCCAGCTATAGATCTTTATGCAGTTTACCAACATCAATTGATTTAGACTTACCATACGCCTCAAAAACGGGGAACTGAGGCAGAAATTAAAACTATGACCTGTTACCATTAAAAACTTTGGGAGCAGGACTAGGCATCAAGTGACTTGCCTAGAATCACAGTGACAGCCTGTGGCAGAGTTGGTAATAAATATCAGGTTTTTGTATTCTTAGTCCTGTGCTTTAATAAATTCATCTGTCCTACTCATGGTGGATTAATAGTCACATGTAACTTTCTAATGTTAACTTACAGTAAACCAAGTGAATGTACAGTTTAATTAGAGAAGACAAATACAAGATTAATATAAATTATCTTTTTAACATGCTACAATGTACCATGTTCCTTCATTAGCAAACATTCTTGCTCATTATTTATAAAATGTTATTTTCGGTATTCTTTTCTCCTTCTACATATGCCATTCATAATTTAAGTTTCAACCATCTGTATGGCCCAAACATACATGATCTAGTCATGGAAGATATACCTATAAGGAATTAAGTGACTTTGTGGTACCAAAACAAGTACAATATATACTACTACTGTGGTACACCAGATGGGAACAGAGTCACCCGTAGCTCAGAGAATGGATCCAGTTAAGTTATAACAACATAAGGAAAGGCATGGAGATACATATATATTTTGCATGAAATACAGGATCTGAATCATGCTGGCAATGCATTGGATTACATTTGTTAAGTAATGTGGTAATCACTTTTATCCATTTAACTAATGCGAGTTCTGTTCATCACCATAAGCCACCCACTAAATTTAACGCAACTTCTTTTGAACGTGGTATTCCAGAATCCCCCTGTGTTCATTGTTAATAAGGACATCTGAGACTTGCCTCACTCAGTAATGATACTTGTATCAAAATACA